TTTTTACAACAATATAATGCTTTGTTGTCCATATCTTTCATACAGGAAACTTTAAACTCAAAATTTTAACTAATATACTCAATATAATATAACAAGTTCATGAAAAATTCAGAACTTTATGGCTAGTCTTCTATAATTCTTCTGTAATTCTCAATAGTGGAGTCTCTAATGGAATTTAAAAGGTATTGTTTGAAAGTACACAAGAAATAAAATCATCCCCATTGGGAAATGATAAGCTTGGTATAGACAGTTGATTTAAAAACCTTATTAAATATTACTAAAGGTACTATAAATGAACTTCATAATAGTAGCTCTTTTGAGTTTAAATGGTAATGTATATTTTTTCCATAAAAAGGTTCATATATTTTACTTATTCAATAGGCTGTAAAACTTTATCCCCTGATAATATCTGCTAAATGAACTAGTGTAATATTACTCTTCCAAAATTTCTTTCATAAATAAAGCACAAAACAGTGGTTAAATGAGTAAACAATGCAAGCTGTCAGAAAATAAGTAAAATGGAATTATTACAAAAGATATTTAGGTCAATAATTATCACTTGGTGAGGAAAGGTTTATCCTTTGGGGTGTTCTGTTGGAAAGAAGATTTTAATCCAAAATAGGCATGCATGAATTAAAAATTATTCTGGGAATAAAACTTCTTGATCATACATTTTAAATCATCAGTTACCTATGAAATACAGCTATCTTTTAATATGAATGAATTATAATAAAACATGGTACGAGTGAGGATTGTGGGGAATCCAATGCCAGAAATCCTGTATCTGTTTACTGAATGCATTTCTTATCCTGGTGTTAGAATGAGCTGTGATAAACTATGATAAATATAAAATGATTTAGCATACTACTTTTTTAGAGTCTCCTCTGTTAAAAATTTCAGAAACAAAACCTTAGAAACAAACAAAAAACCAAAAGATAAATTTATCCTTAAAAAATGAAATCTTTATGCTAAAAAAGATGAAATCTTTATGCTCCAGATCAACATGAAAGTAAAATTTTTGAGAATGAGTCAAGTGAATTTGAACACTTAAAATTCAAATATTACCAGCCAAGATTCATCTCTGCTTAAAGGTCTTACTATCATTTTCCAAAGAAATACTTTCCAACAAATTGCTGACATAAACATACCTGATTCAATTATCAACAGACTTTGAGAAACTTGAAGTAAGTTTAGATTCTGTCAGACTTAGTGCTCCTTTAAGAGAGCTACATCAAATGTCTACATGTCTTTAAGCTGGGACATCACAACTATCATAAATACTGACTTAGGCAAACCTATTCTTCTCAGCTCTATATTGTACCCTTTCCCTCATTTTATCATTTCTCCATTTAATCTAGGACTAGGGACAGAACAGGGACTGTGGGAGAACAAATGCGTCCCATGGCAATTCCTTGTCATTAGGTATTGGTTGACTTGTTGAGTAAGGAAAATGGCTTCTGTCCAGAATACCAAACCACCTTCAGCTTCTTCAAGGCTCACAGTTCTTCCCCTGAGTCTTAGCTACTATCGATTCCATTCACTGTTTCTAATACATGTAGGACACTTTTGCATGTAGAGGTTCCTGAAATCTTTATGAAGAACTGAATGAACCTTTAGTGATAGTACTCACCTATGTAGGAAAAATAGAAAAAGCCATTGAAGAGCACCTGTTACCCTACAATGGGAATCTATAATAAATTCCTCTTTTAAATTTATTTTTTTCTTTTGTTTTGTTTTTATTGTTGATTTATATCTGAATAAAGTAAAGTAAAA